TCAGATCGTGATCCTCTTTTTTTGAGCAAGTTCTAGACCACCCTTTTCACCCTGCAAGGCACCACACTTCGTTTCAGTTCAGCATATCACCCACAGTCCGACGGTCAAATAGAACGTGTCAACAGATGTGTAGAGCAATTTTTGAGGGCATTTACCTTTGAAAATCCTTCTGCTTGGTCTCGATATCTAACGTGGGCGGAGTACCATCATAATACGTCCTTCCATAGTTCCACCGGCATGACTCCTTATCAGATCACCTTCGGTAGACCTCCACTGAATCTCTTATCCTACACTTTAGGCTTTTCATCTAACGCAGCCGTTGACGACGTCCTGTCTTCCCGAGCAACCATCCTCGCAATAGTAAAGGAAAGTTTACTCAGAGCACAGACACAGATGAAAAATCAGGCTGATAAAAAGAGAAAAGATCGAGTTTTTACCATGCGGGAGCAAGTACTCCTACGCCTTCAACCATATAGGTAGTTGTCCGTGCAGCGTCGATCCTCTCAGAAGCTGGCTTTACGATTTTATGGACCCTTCGAAGTTGGTGAACGCATTGGTCCGGTGGATTATCTCTTAAAGCTTCCACCTTTGACTCGCATCCATCCGGTTTTTCATGTCTCGTTACTGAGACCGTTTAAAATGGACCGCCAGTTTCAGATCCACGCCCTCCCTGCGTTTTCTAACGATCCACCATTGGCACACACACCAGCAGCTGTGGTGGGGAACAGAGAAATTTGGTGTCAAGGTAACCGGATTAACCAGGTTCTCGTGCAATGGAATGGGTTATCACCCGAAGATTGCACATGGGAGGATGAGGAGTTCATTTTTAAGGAAGACTGTCGGTCCTCTCGGGTTCTCTCCGACAAACATCTCATCAACCAGGGGGCTTTGGTTTCGGACTCCAATAGTAAGGTCTTCAAACAAGGAGACTCTTTGACGCTGGAGAGTGGGAATACAACGGCCTTAATGCCTTCCCCTCAACCCAACGTCTCAATTAATGACACACTGCCTGAGCCCCTCTTTTGCGTGTCCCCAAAGCATGCCTGCCAACCACTTTCAATCAGCCATTCAAGTGGCCATCCCATCAGTCACTCCACACCTATTGACCCGCCACTTCCACCCTTGCTTCCTATTAGACCGCACTCAGCTACTATCCTTGTGGACAAGGATCATTTTGAACACCAAGGGGATGTTACGGGCCCTTGTGAAGTATCAGGCCCAACTCACAACTTGGAGGAGGATACCAAAAGGATTAGAAGACAGCCCAGCTATCTCAAGGACTATGAGATGGGCTAAAGTGTTATGGCCTTTTTAATAAATTCTAATACTGCTTTGTAGTTGACGGACCCTTTTTATTTTTCATGTCTTTGAATTGGTATTAGGTGGCCCAATGATAATTGGCACTATAGGTTAACTTGGAAGTTAGTAAAAGGTAACAAGAATTTAGCTCATCTCTCTCTACTCTCTCTACCCCTGAACTCTCTTTTCTCCTTAATCTTCTCTTTTGCATTTTTGAAAAACTGAATTAAACCCCACAACAGGCCGATAATTATATCCATAACAGGTAACAAGCTTGATCAGAGTGACACATTTAAACACAGGATTAGCCTTTTAAGAACAAAGTTCGACTCGGCTCAACACGTTAACACCCCTACTTATAATGTGACGTCATATTTGATAAATTAACATTTCATGTAGTTCCTAATATAGTCGAACTTATTAATGAAATCCAAGATAGCATTGTACAATAGTATATAAAAATATTTTACTCTATTAGGGCATTGAGTTACACTAAAATGATTATGAGGGGCTAGAGTGATAAACTTTTATTTAGAAGGTCAAATAAGAAATTTTTGAAAGAAATACCTTTACATACGAATCAATTCAAAATAAAACAAAATAAAATTAGGGGTTCGTCAAGCTTCAAGACAATTCTAATGAGTTAATCATTGCTGATTCTTAAATAGATATCTAATTCCTATAGTTTGATTTATCTAATTATATACTATCTTTAAATCTCTATAAATTCTAGGTGAATTCTTTCAAAATTTTCTAGTTATAGCATTACTCTATTTTCACCTCTCAAACACTAACACAGAAATTTCATGTTGATGGCAAAGATGGGTGGATGATGAAACCTTGCGAAGACTATAATCATTGGACTCAAAGAAACAAGTTTTATGTCAATGACACTCTATGTGAGTCAGCTATTACTCAATATCAAATTTATATTAATTTTGTTTTTACATAGAGTGTCATTGATATGAAACTTGTTTCTTTGAGTCCAATGATTGTAGTCTTAGGAAGGTTTCACCACCCACCCATCTTTGCCACCAACATGAAATTTCTAGGTTGGTGCTTGAGATGAGTATGATGAGCTAAAAAGCAACATTGATATCATCAAAAGCATAAGGCCAAGAAACTGGTCGGATATATAACCACACCTTGCCATTTGCAAAATGCTGAAATGTTCTCAAGAGAGAGAGTTAGAGAGGTGAATAATGTATGAAGATTGAGGGGTGATATATACAGAGATGGGGGTGAGAGATTACATATGATGAATTGCACCTGGCTTTCAGCTCACGTTTAAGGCTTGTTTTGTGCAGCACATACTTGAAATTTTTATGTTATATAGCATTTGCACTTAATATTCTTATACACAGGTACATTTACAAAATGCTCATACAGGTTTGGCATGTCACAAATATAGGATATGGAAATTTCTAAAAGATATAGGAAAATGAGAAAACAACATTCTCATTCTGATAGTTTAATATTATATAGCCATTCAAACATTGAAGACCATAAATATTCGGATCAATTGAATATCCGTTTCATGCCCCTTAGTACCGCCAAAAAAAATGTGCAACATTCACACAAAAAGGGAAGATAAAATACGCATAGAACATATATAAAGGAGAAAAAAAGGGACTAATGAAGATGTTTTAATTTCTCACTGCCTTTATATTTTACAAGAGGTGTTACTAACAAAAAAGAAAATTAACAAACTCTACCATGTTACAAGTCATCTATAATTATCAATTATCTTAATCACAATTCTATATAAAACAGCTAAATCTGTTGAATCGTGATGAAACCCCAACTTGGATAATGAGGAAATTCAGAATCAAACTCAAAAACAGTTACAGTAAGTGTAAAGAATCTTGGGATACACCACCCCAAAAGCTAGCTCAAAGGGTGGGAGTGCCCAAAGTCTTATAAACTCCACATTAGTTGCACATACAACCAATGTGAGACTATATATCTCAACACGCCCCCTAGCTTTTGGGGTGGTGTATCCCAAGGTTCTTTACAGTAAGACAAGTTTAGTAGCAAAACATTAACAATGGCTAATATAGCCTTGAAGAAAAACTAAATAGAAATAGAAAAATAAAAGATAATGGAGGGGACTCCACAGTACCCCTCTTCCCTGGAGATCCCCAAGGATTCTCCTCTACCAATAACCCACTATTACAATTAACGTGCCTTCCCTTCCCACTCACATACATTATATAGACCCTGAATCTCTCTCTTCTAACTATCTCAAAATAACTAGATCTGGGCCAACTTGTCCTAACCCATTAATACTCCCCCTTCAAGATTCACCTTGTCCTTAAGGTGAAGAGGTCAAGTAATGTGAAAGAACATCCACCCGGGTACCAAATTTTGAAGCTTCTTGACCACATTGTTAGCTGCAATTTCTTACCCGTATCTTTTCGAGGAACTAACTTATGCTTTGGAATAACATTGGCTAAACCAATCAAGATCCCAATGGCCAACTTAGAGGGACCTTAGTCATCTGCAATTTTCCAAAAGGGTAAGCAACCATTCATACCATCAAATCCAACATTTGAACAGTAAAGAAAGAAATTGTTGGCATCAAACCCAAGAACAGGAAGCCTTCCTTCACATGCATAGGATTTAAGGGCAGTGTCGATGATCCCAGAAACAAGGTCTTTCTCATTGACCACAAACCTTATGGGACCCGCATTCCCTAGGATGTCAATGTTGACCAAGCACCTTTTGCTCCTCATTTTTTGATCCTCGTTGTTGTTGTTTTCCTTGTTATTGTTCTTCTGCAACACCACCTTCTCTTTTGAAATTAAGCTTAAATCCAGATTTTTCTTTTCTTGGATTAGGGCCAACACTCAATGAATCTCCCCCAACAAAATATGATCCCCTTTGAATGGAGTTAGGCCCATTATGATTCAGGCCCATCCAATTGTCATTATTCCTTTCTATTATTCCTGATTGAATCATGGACTAGATTATTAATGTGGGTTGTGAATAATGACCCGCTCCTTTTGAATTAGGCCCACTTGTTCCTCGGCCCATAGTCCTAATCACCCAACCCAACATCATCTCTATCTCCACCCCTACTACCTCTTGCGTCTTCGACAAGGGCTTTTCCATGCTCGTCATCAACAAATTGTGAGACCTGTCCTGGTCTTCTTCTTCTGGTTCTTCTTGTCTTCTTCAATCTCTTCTTCTCCTCCTTCAGTTTCTTCTTCTTTAGCTTTTTCTCTCTACCTCTTCTTCGTCTGTTACTTCTTTGTTTTTTCTTTTCACTACTTCTTTGCGTCTTTTCTCTCCTCCTTTCTTTGGTTTGATTTCTTCTTTTTCTTCTACTGTGATTCCATTCTTCTGCGTTTTTGTGCTTTTTTTCTTGAAAAATATTACTCTCCTGCCATATAAAATATCTTCCATTTTCTCTCACTTCGATTCTCGTATCTCACCTTTTACTTTTTTTCTTTTTTTCTTGTAATGGTAGAACCTACCTATTTTCTCTCTACAACATAAAATAACTATCTTACAACATATCTGATGTTAAATAAGACTAATAAAACCCTTTTTTCTTTTTTGTTTTCTTCATTTTTTTTTTTTCAAAACTCTCTGACTTCTCTAACACCTCATCTATAATTTTTACCATTTTCATTAACATTTCCCTAAGCTCTAAATCTGGTTTGTACCATTCAATGCTCCAACGATCTAAAGCTTTGATACCAAATTGATTAAACCCCAATTTGGATAAAAAGGAAATTCAGAATCAAACTCAAACAGTTACAGTAAGACAAGTTTAATAGCAAAACACTAACAATGGCTGACATAGCCTTAAAGGAAAACGAAATAGAAATAGAAAATAAAGGATAATGGAGGGGACTCCACAGTACCCCTCTTCTCTGGAAATCCCCATGGATTCTCTTCTACCAATAACCCACTATTACAATCAACATGCCTTCCCCTTCCCACCCACATACATTATATAGACAGTCAATCTCTCTCTTCTAACTAACTCCAAAGAACTAGACCTGGCCCATTTGTCCTAGCCCATCAAATCACCATCTCGGTCTAAAAAAGGTATAAACACCATATTCATTTCTTCCACTTTTTCTTTCTACCAAGAAAAGACATTAAATTTTCAATCCTCCACGGTTTATCCTATTTCTACTTTTTTTGCTTTTGATTCTAACAAGCACATCCTTGAACCATCATGGATGCCACCATCATTAGATTGTCCAATAAGAAAAGCTTCAAATAACCTTCTCATATTATTGTAGCTATCTTCTCTGCATTTTGAATCTGGAGACTGGTTTTGAATATTGAGAATCAGGAACCTGCCAAAATCAAATTCATGATTATCATAGATTTAAGACGATGATAAAACTGCAAAGCATCATGGTACAAATCAGTAAATCTACCTGTAAGGAAGTTGATCTTTGTTCTCTTGAAGTTGTTTGAACATTCTCAGCATGCTCTATGATGGAGCCTGTAAAAGCCTGCAGAAAATATTTATTCAAGAAAATTATCAGCTTCTGCACATTTTGTTGCAGGGCATTATAATTGTGAGTGTAAAATTACCTTGCTACTATCAAATGATGGTTCTGAAGTTTGATTCGGGACCTGTAAAGGAAATAATTGTACATGTTAAGAACCAACTCAGCATGACATTTTTACAATTCTTTGAAACATTTTAGGTCACTGTTCAAGAGTAATGATCAAAGCACTAAGTCATCCTTTTGTTTCCAGAACCACCATACTTTTACATATTCTTGCCAACTTTCAAATAGCATACTTTCAGTCTTCATTAATTCCTAACTCTAGCTTTCTCATTTAAAACTTTCCACTTCACAATTGTCACCTACATATCTTGCAAATTATAGCTTTGAGTCCTTCAGAGCTGTGCTATGGTCATAAACAAAGGTAATACAACTGAGATGTTGCAGTCTGTAGGCCTTACAACTCTTTCTCCCGATCTCCGATGTCCAACCTGGACAAATAGTGAAACTATTGATAACCTTGAGGAGCATACATATCAGGAAGCAGGGAATTTTGTGATACCAAGAGCCATTCTAGTATGTATTGTTTAAGAGAAATGAGAATAATGAAACTGTTAGGATTCTAGAGCTTAGAGAATCCCACGAGGAAGAGGAAAAAAACAAGAACAGAATGTAGGAGAGGTGAGAATGGAGAATTGGGAAAAGAATGATGTATCTGTTATTGAAGATGGAATGAACAAGTAGAATACTCATTCACAAGGGTCGCCCCCTTTACAACTGAGTTCCACGATTCAGTCTGCTAACAATCTCTATGCACGCTTTCTCCATACAGCTTTCCCCCTATTTAAATACCTAACAGAATTGCCATTATAATACTAGCAACCCTGTCCAACGGTTTTAACCTCTCTAACTTATCTCATATATGTGATTCCATGTCCTATTTTTATCTAGCTGAAGCCTAATAGAAAACCTCAATACAGTTCAAGGCATAAATGTTACTTCCAACTAGAAAATAAAAATTAGTCTGTTATCTCAAAGCAAAGCAATGTAGTATTTCCAATTCCATTTGGTCCCAAAGCAGTATAGAACACAACACAACAAGCAGGAAACTATAATGGAAAATTCATCACAAGATCTACATACCTCAATATTCGATGCAGTAGTTGCTTGAACTGTCTTCTGTTTAGGAAGTATGGGAAGCTTCTCAATACGATCAATGGATTCCACATTTTGTTCAGAACTTTTCCCATCTGACAGTTCAGACACAACAGAAAAACTAATTTCAGAATGGATGCAAACAGCACCGATACCCATTAAGAAGTACAAAAAAATCAAGAAACATGCATACACAGAAAATGAGAGTCAATAACTAAGGCTAACCTCTGACTTTAGATTCCATTGCCAGGCTTGCAAACTGCATTTTGAAAATCAGAATGCAAAAGCATGCTTCTTCAGCTGAATAGTTATATAACATAATAAACAACTTTAACACGGAACTTAGGCAACAGGAAGATACTATCTCACATTCAACTGATTAGCTATATCTTCTTGATGATTATTCTTTTCTGTAGACTCAGTTGCTATAATGTTATTGTTAGTCTGGTCCAGTGGTATGCCTTGATGAAAGTCCTATTTGAGCAGTCACAGCAAATGAATTATAAGCTATCACAGTCCATCGTGCGCAAAGCCCCAAAAAAACATTTCTGAACCAGAATTCAACAAATTAATCAAGATATTACTTCTAAATTTTGGAGATTGTCATCAATAGGTTCCTCATTTTCATGACTTTGATTGTCAATTTCTGCAGCAAGCTCTTCTTTTTCAAGTTCATCCAATCTAGACAATATACGAGCATATTCCCCATCGTCAGCCATAGCATTCTCAAAATTAAAAGCAACTTGCTTCAGTGGACCTGAGAAGAATATAAGCATCTCATTCAATCATAATTTCAATATTTCCAACAAGTTTAGAAGTATGGTCAATGGTTGGTGCATTAATAAACATTAGCATATGAAACAAAATATAAATAAAAGAGACATAATGATAAGCATAATAGCATATCACAGTTACATGGACAGTAGTGGTTAAATGTATCAAAATACATGTAGATAGACATGCATTTAACTGGTTAAATGTATCAAACCGTTCACGTTGTGCAGTATAACTGATTTGAATTATAAAATATTACTTGCATGAGTATGCTATAAGTAGTATTTGAAAGCAGAGAGGTTAGAGAAAAAAATTTCAGACATATGCTAATGATAACAAATCGTACTACAGCATAAAAAGTCAAAGTCAAGAAGAATTAAGACTTGATTCAACAGAGGATGACACTTGCTGCTAGTTGGATAATCTTAATAAATTAAAAATCTTCAGAGAAAGGACTTGGAACTTTATTTAGACTTTAGAGCCCTATCTCTATCAGCTTCCATTTATAAAATTACAATGAACATCAACTATCACCTTATATAAATTTTAAACCTTGGAAAGGAAAAGACAGCAAGAACTTGCCTGGTTTAGATTCCCCTCCGTTAGAGTCTTCCTCCTCATAATCTTCCCTTATTTCCACAAGACCCTCCTATGCCAAATTAAACCACCACATTAATTAATCATTGATGCAAACTTCAAAAATATTAATTATCAAGTGATAACAAAAGCATACAAAGACAAAAGCACATGAAGAATCACATCATAAGGGCCTGTTTGGTGCACAGGATAGGATAAGGTCTGATAGTATAAAACCTGATTCATTAAGGCCTGATTAAATTTTAATACTATCCAGCATAGTAATTGGTAATACACTGTATAATACTACGTAGGATAAAATAAATATTTTTGACAAAAATCCCTTTAATAAAATATTTATATAGTTCTTTCAAATATTTCAGATGATATTAATTTTAAATGTCATATTAAACCAATTAAATATAAGATCAACAGAAAAAAAATCTTTAACCTTTTCAGAAATCACAAAACATAGTTGAGGGATAGAGGCGAACACATGAACACCTGCATTTCCCTTTTTCCAAATACAACTCATCTTTTTCACCACATCACCATGCAGAAAAATCAACCTAATGACAACTGAAAAGGATAGATTCCTGAGTTGGATGTAGATTGCTCACTCTGCAGTCTCTCAAACATATGTCCGGCCTTTATATGTTCAAATTAAATGTTCTCATTACATCGAGCAACCACATCAAACCCATTAATAAACCATCTACTGAACCACATAACCAAAATATCGATGTAAACATAATAACTGAACAATCCATGGACTAAGGAGATATGCAGCAGCATAAATTAAGCCTTGGGGAAAAGTAACAATAATGCTTAGCAAGCAGAAAGTGTATTATATTCAAACCGAAACCCCAATTCCATATACATATATGAATATATACCGGTTTTTACCAATTTGTACAGAATATTGATGCTCTGCAATTTCACGCTTGTCAATTGTGGATAAAAACAAGAAGCTAAAAATCCCCTTAGAGAAGGGACAAAAACCCCGAAAAAAAAAGGTACCATTTTTCTTTTTTAAGCAGCGACATTCATAAACTGTCATTTTTATTTTTATTTTTATTTTTGGTTTCATGCGTGCGCGTCCATTGAGATTACTTAGGTTTCAGTTTCAATTTTATCTTGTGTTGTGATGCAGAAATTTCAACGAAATGTTCATAGGTAATATGGTAGTGAACAACGTCACCTAGGGTTCGGAAACTGGGAATGAAATTAGAGAAGGGCCTGTTTGATGCGGTTCCAAGGTGAACCAGAAGCCATGGTCGAGGAGGTGGATTGGGGTTCAAAGCCAGAACAATAAGGTCCTCCTTCGCCGTGCACTAGCCGTGAGAACCATGTATACGACGTCGCAAAAAACAAAATCGAATTGGGCATGAAAACAGAGAGGGGCAAAATGATGGAACCGGCAAGGGTTTCATGAAAAGTGGACCTGATGCAGTTGAGGAATTAGAGGGTTGGGGATTTGAGGAGTAGGTGACCGAAGATGGCGAAGTAGACGAAAGTAGGGTCAATGAGGAAGCTGTAAGTGCGGTGTAGACGGTGTGGGTATGCAGGGAAGAAGAGAAAAGGGGTATAAGGGAAAGAAAAATATGGGAGGGGATTAACCTATAACATTGATCCCTTATCAGGTCTAATCCCACCCCTTAGACCTGATTAAGTTATACATCATTTTAATGTATCAAGGAATCATGCTGTATAAGTTTATACTATACAATGGTTACACCAAACAACTGAAAATGTCATAACATATAATATAAGCTTATATCATCAGACCTTATACATCATTCCAAACATGCCCTAAGAAAAAAGATAGCTTAGGACGCATAGCATAGGAAGCTAGGGTTAGTTCTGCAGACACTGCTAAAAACTAATAACAAATCACATTAAAGCACAACTCAAAGTTTTGCATGAAAAGATATTCAACAACCATGTATATCCAACAACCCTTCATAAAAAGAATGAATGAATGAAACAAGAAATCCACATCAATGTTTTAGAATCCGGATCAGACCGGCCAGACCGTGAACCCTAATATATTTCCAATTCAACCACAAATTTAAATGGTTAAACTAATCGGCACTGACCCGGATACATTTTCAGTTCAATTTTTAGAAACATTGAATCCACAATATTATAACAGAAAACAGTTGTGAATATCGAAATGGCTTCAACAAAAATCAAACTCAGAGTTTCAAACTTCATTTAAAATAATGAGGAAAGTGCAAAGACAAAAAAAAAAGTGAAACCCACCGCTGCTTCAGAAGCTGTGGAATTGAAAAACGAAGCCTCTGCCTCAAGGTCCTTGATCATGGCCTCAAGAGAATCAACTTGTGAATCCAAGGACTTCCCTCTTCGTTGCAAAATCTCTATGGCTTGTTTGGACGTTCTCTCTGCATAATAGCCTTCTCCCAAAAGAACCTAACAAGAAAAGACTCTTGCCATTGTTAAATAAATAAATTCAAAAATTGAAGACAAGAAAACGCGTACCAGAAACTCATTGGTGTGAATCAAGCGACCTGGGAAGAACGCTGCTTTCCCAAACGGAACCTAAGAGTCAAATCCCAAGTTTGAAACCATTTTCCAGTGGGAAATTTTTTTAAGAAAAAAAAAGGGGGGGTTTTACGTACCATGATGTCGTGAGAGAGGTGGTCGGGGAGCTTCTGGACGAGGTTAACGAGGTTGTTGTTGTCGCCGACAAAACCTTGTAGGCTGTCGAGCTCGTTTCGCTTCTCGGCGATGGCATCTTCGACGCGCTTCGCCGCTTTCTGCGCCTCCTCCACTGGGAACAGAGACGCCAGTGACGTCACTGTCCCTTTCCTTCTCGACTCTTCCATTTTCCCTCCCTCTCTCTCCTCGTTTTGGATCCGATTACTACTTCTTCTCGCCGACCCGATCACCCGACCCGCCAAGTAGTACAATCTGAAGGGCCCGGTAAAAAAGCCCTTTGAGGATTTAATTATTTAAATATTGTAAATTTAGTTTTTTATTATGATCAATGTCAATTATGTAAAGTTTTATACGTATGTAGTAAGTAATTGAATAATTGACAGACCAATAGATAGATTTTTTTTAATTAAAAAAATATTGGGATTAATATAAAAAAATGTGGGGATTCGATTGCTGAAATAACACATTTAGGGATTGTACCGTTCAGTTCTGTGAGCCCACTATGTACCCTTGAGGGTAATGTTATTATATGGATTACACCACTAGCTGAGGTAAAGACCAGACTAGAAGGTATAGTTCCAAGAGGTAGCAAGCTGATATCAATGGCAGATAAATAACAAGAGTATGACTTGGAAGTAAATGGGCATAACAACAGTACATAAAAGATATCTGGTGGTGTGCCCCCTGAGGGCTATTTATAAGGAAGATGATGCGGGTTGGTGAGGTGGGGGTCAACCCTTCTTGGGGTGCACACCCACGATGGCAGTGTTAGGCGTGGTTGGCGCTGCCACAATGGCAGTGCTGCAACCACTGCACCCGGCGATGTCAGCACTGAACAAAGGGGCAGGTTCCTTTGCAGTGCTTATGGCGACTGCCTTTAGCGGTTAATGTCCCGAAGTGGGACATTTTGGTGTATCTCTTGGACGTGCTGCAGTCTTGGAGATCGTGAGGGTCTACATCAGCCCTAAGGGCTGACACGGAACAAGGCTGAGGGTTGGGCTTGAGTAACTGGGCCAGCTGAGGGTTGGGCCTGAGTAATTGGGCCACTCCAGTACTTGGGCCATCCAGAACAGGAGCCCCCAGCTTGGTAGCAACCGTGGGATGGTGCCAAGTTAAAGACTTTGGTCGTTCTCGTCAGGGCGGTGTGCGTCCTTCGAGAGGGAGTTACTGACGTTCTATGGGGCGTTCTTTAAGAGGGAAATGACTACAAAGCCTCGTATCGCCGTGGCGCCATGAACCCCAACCTGGTTATAAGCATAAGTTGGCGCCTTGGTAGATAGGATTTGGCGACGCATTGTTTGGCGATGTGAAATGCTTGAGCACGGGCGATTGCTTTTGGTGATAGCTGTAATAAGGTCATTGATGACGGGGATTGGTAGGTGACGGAACCGAAAAGTTGCCTCTTAAAGACACTTTAAGAGGCTTTTCGGTTTCCGAGGAGCCGTAATGATGAGTTATCCCATCATTACTATTTATTGCAAGCATCCAAGCGTCATAGGGTTCGGCGCATTAATGCTCCGCGACTGGTGACTTGTCCCTTTGAAGTGACCACTTTGCCCCCTCTCCTTAACCGTTCATCACACGATGAGCATGTCATCTTACGGTTAAGTGAGGAGGACTTACACGTGTCCGTGTGAGACCTCTCTCTTTCTTTACACGTGTCTGTGTGAGACTTGTGTGAGACTTCTCTCTTTCCCCTCCTTTTTTTATAAAAAGGGGGGAGCCCCTTTGCTGGGGCTCTTTCTTACGCGAAACCTACACTCTTACGCTTTGCTCAAAGCCTTTGTTCCCTATCCTCAGTTCGGTGTGATAGTGCCGGTCTTCTTTCTCTCCTTTTCTGCGATTCTCAGGTATAGTCCTTCTTCTCTTGTCGTTTATATTCTCATTTCTGGTTGTCTTCTACTCTTTTTTCTGCTGTATCGATGGTTAGGTTTACAGAACCTATCCCAGGCCTCATACTCCCTGAATCGGAAGTAGAAATCAAGGAAGAGGAGTTTGACGAGGCCTTTGAGGCACTGGGGAATAGTGCGGTGGGGCCAGCGATGCGAGAGTATCTTGCTAGTTGCGCCCCAAGTCGTCCCTTAGTTCCTGGGGTTGAGAAGTTTCCCCACGGGAAAGTACCCGAACTTCTGGGTTTTAGCGAAAAGGAGATTCAAAATCTCCTTCCCGAGAGAGCTTTAGGGCCTGTCCTCTCGTATGCTGGTGAGGCGTCATGTTCAATTCCCCGTAGTGGGCGCCGCAGAGGGCGCCACGATTTAGTTGGTGAGAAGAACTCCAGATCTGGTGGGCGTTCGCCTGCCGCCTCTAGGAGGCAGAAAGTCACTTCACGTCGTCGCGTTTCACGGCGTTCTGATCTTGGAACTGGGCGACTAATTCGACCCGTATCCAACATCAATCGCCTGCGTCAAAACCGTCCTTTGGAGTATTATTTCCACCCTCGCCCTTCTTCAGTTGCCCTTCGCTCCTCTCATGGTCTAATTCCCTCCATTCCCCAATCTTTCCATCGTCGTATGTATGATGAGTCCACAGATAACCGTTTGGGTAGATATCACCCGGAGGATGGTCGCCTTACAAGGAATGGCGTGTGGGACGCCATTTTTGAGGACATAGGGCTTTATAAGATACCGCCTGCTTGGTGGCCTTCTAACCTGAGCTATTCAGAATTTTATTCAAGTTCATCAGATACCTCGGATTCTGATGGTGAGTTAACTGTTTAATTCTTCCTTTTTCCTTTTCGTTGTGCTTGGCGTGGGGGGAGTTGGAGGTGACAGGGGTGTTGATAGGGTGGGTTGGACTATCTCGTTTCCTTTTGCAATGGTCTTCCTGGCGTCAGTGAAGTTTAGAGGATTGACTGTGTGTTTGTCGCTCCTAAGTAGGACTTACAAGGATTTTCCAAACTTATGGCGACTGTTTAGTCGGACGATGGTCTCGGGGCGCGGGATTGGGTTGATTCAGTGGTGGCCTCAACCTCTTCAAGCTACTCTGACAAGAGCATCTTACGCAGTCACTATAAAGGTGAGCCTAGCTTTAGCATAACTGAAAATGGCGCAATGGAGGCGAAGTGGCAACCCATCGCGGTCGGCGTTGATCGTCGAGTTTGTGACGCGTCTCTTATGGAGCAGCGATCACGGTGGCGGTTTATGGTGTACAAAACGCACTTTACTGATCAGAAGGTGAGGTTTCCGTTATCCGAGTTCGAGATGGGGGTGCTATCTCACTTACAGGTCGCGCCTTCATAACTGCATCCCAACGCTTGGGCGTTTGTCAGAGTTTTTGAGAGTATATGCAAGTATTTCGATATGGCCTACTCTGTACGATCATTCTTCTACTGTTTTCAAGTGTCGCCATCCAAGAAGACGAAGCTTGGTTGGGTTTCTTTGAAGGCGGGCAATGCGATTGGATCAATATTTGCCCAGTACGCCAACTCTTATAAGAATTGGGCGCGTACCTTCTTTTGGATTGAACCAGTGCTAGGCGGCGGCGAGTTCCCTTTCTTTGTTGATCCGTCGAGTGAGGAGTGTCGGTTTCCCCTATACTGGACTAAGGCTCACTACGAAACGCCGGCCAGTCAGTACTCGTTTCCTCTAGGGGTCCTGTCTCCGGGGAGGTAAAGGCGATCAGTTGGTTTTTAGAAGTAAAGGGGGGTCTTGACAGGTGGCCCACGAAGCAATTGTTGTGCCATGGAGGTGTGGTGGCGTTCAATGTTTTTTTATTTGTGACGATTTATTCTGTCTCTTCTTGTGTTTACCCTTTCTTGTGTTTGTACTGACTCGTATCTTTATTGTTTGTAGTTGGAAACATGGCAACCGATGCATTGAAGCTTGCGCGTGATTCTGCAGCTAAAGTGAGGGCCAAGCAGGGCGTAGCGCCTCGGACTCAGACCATTCTTCCTTCAAAAAGGAAAAGCTTGGACAAGGGTAAAGCCATAGAGGTCCGCCCTAAAAAGAAGAAAGTTTGGTCTGCTGCTGACATCCCTGCTGGTGAACTTGAGAAACGGGCTAACTGCCCTATTATTAGAGATCCCACTGGCGTGACTGGCAACTCTTCTGCAAGTGAATCAACATTTGGTTCTGGGTTACAAGGTACGACAGCGAGCTTAACACCTCCAAGATCTTCCCAAGCGAGGCGCACTGAGCCTTCTGGGGTCGGTATGACCCGGGATGGTGCTTCTGAAGGCGATCCGGCAATTAACAACGCTTCGAGCGATGGAGGAGGTGGCCACCCTGCTGAGCCGTCTGAGGCTGTAGGTTCACCTCCTCTTCCTGAAATTCTTGTGAGCAAGGCGCTCAGATTGTCAGAGAAGGACCTTGTCCACGGCTTCCCCAACATCAGGCATCCCAAGATGGTAATGCCTGTGCGTTTCGACCGTCAGCAATACATGGACTGCACACAAGTGATAATTGGCCGTCTCCTGGGCCAATAGGAGATTACCCTAGATTTTGAGGAAAGGTGCTCCCAACAAGAGGATCGTATTGTTGACTTGGGGCGGCAGGTGAATAGCTTGACCGCTGACGTAGGGCGCCTTGGCAAAGAAGTTGCTGATGGGAAAGCTTCTTCAAAATCTCTGATGGCGCAATTAAAAACGGCAGAGGACGCAGTGAAACTATTGACCGCCGATAAAAGCAACCTGAGTCTATCAGTGGAGAATTTGAAGAAGGAAAAATAGACTCTTTCAGCAGAGCGAGATCGACTATCATCAGATTTATTTTCCGCGCACGGGAGCCTTCACGCCAGGGATGACGACTATAAGAAGGCTGTTGAGCAAGTGGGGAAGCTGGAAGAGGCTCTGGCCGATCTGATGTACGATTCTTTCAACAACGCCCTCAAACAGGTTGCCGTGAGGTATCCTGGTTTTGATTTGACTGGCCTGGATCCGTCTTATGATGTAGAGGATGGCCAGATTGTAGAGCGCCTTGAAGGTGATGGTGTGAAGGTGATTGAAACGTCGCCAGAGACTGATGACGATGAAGGGGCTCGCGGCGGGCTTCCTATGACTAACACGGACAGTGATCATACACGAGATTGTGATGGGCGTGTTACGTCAGGCGATCCTGCTGTTCGTGGCGGTAGTGCTGATAATGTGACCGGTGGGCAGGCTGAAACTGTTCAGGCGCCAGTGGCGGTTGCCTCAGCAGTTGAAGGGGACTCGACCGTTCAGGCTCAGGATGTTTAAGAT